ACTGCGATTGTTAGGTTATTATGAAATATCATACGCTCGACATGTTGTTCGGGGATGTCTGAACTTAGCCGCATGACGACCCCTACATTTTGACGCCCGACCACCTAGAGCATGGCATCCCATTCAGCAAGTCTCGCTTCAACGAGCTCTACGTCACTTGACGCCTCAAGTGCCACGACTTCAAAAGAATGCGCTGAGTAGCTGAAGTATCGAACTCGTCATAACATGTGCAGCGGTCCGTTTCAGTTAATCTGGGGAGTCCGTAAACCATTCCGTTTTTCCAGAGATGCAGCATCAATGGCCTTCTCCTAGCTTAAAGTAGGCCCTTGGTTACGTGTTGGTTGTGAAAGTGGATGACATTCTCCGTTCATGGAAACTTCGTCAATGTGTCCAGAACTCATTGTAGAACCAGCTGATGGTCGTCTTACCCACGTACGTATCATCCGCACAAAACAGAGACCTCAAAATTGAGAATTCCCTGCCTCTGTGTGCAATACTCACTGTGTTGAAGGACAAGATAGGCGACATATAGCACTGAGCTATGTTGACGGATAAAGCGACGTAAAGCCGTGCTATTTTCACGCGCAACAAGCCACTGGGTGGCATTGCGTTCCATAAACACCTCACCGTTTTGCGAAATGTGTTCAAACACAGGCAACATGTATTCCCCTCCATGGTCTGCTTTGACGACGCTGCCGAGGAATTACTCAATTACCGAACAATATCTATGGAGATGTCACCATCGTGCGGATATCCCGCAAGGACACACCATGAATTTGTATAATATCCAAGTGCCCGATGGTCGTACGTCAACTTCAAGTGGGCTATTCGTGCGCAGCGTTGTTTGACATATTTCGGAAAGGTAACAGCGGATGTCTTGTGAACGCAAATTGGCATTTTAAGAGCATGTGAACAGAGCGATAGCCCGGAGCATACAGCCCACAAAATCCTCCAGCGTGGTGAGTGATCCTTAGACAACCATGAGACGCGCATCTCTTATACCTTTGAGCAGAGAGAAATTTGGAAGTGGTGCGACCTTATTGCTTATCCTTCACGTCAGCGTATATTGCGTGCCTCTGCTCTCGGTATTCAGAGACCACTCGTTCCGACAGAGTAAGTCAGATCTTTTTTCGTGCATCGCCCAGCGGGTACTAGCAAAATACAACCTAGAAGAGCTTGCTTCACCTGTCTCTTTTCCCTAATCCATAGTCATCGCCTGTAGAAGAACCGCTTGAAAAGTTTGAAGTATTGGTCGCAAATAGAAGTCATTGAAATTTGGGTGGTTGTTCGCGTCTCTGAGGGAAAGCTTTTACATTAAACGAGAAACGGAAAGACCGCTAGGTACGCTAGTGCTGGTTCACCTAATGAATAAAATCATGTATTTCGCCAATGTTGGTTTCATAATTTTCAGGCTTCTGTTTAGTAGAGCGGTAGCACACAACCTCCCAATGATGAGGGGATGTTCTTGGTCCTCAGCTTGGTCTGTTTTGCATAGTTACGGCCCCATAATCAGCGCCCCTTATGTACGTGGGCCTAGCAGTAGCGATAAGCAGCCGAGCTTGGCATTGCGCACGTTGCGGTGGTGAAGAACTATTTGGGGCCACATTGTTTGGTAATTTTGATGTTCCTCTCAAAGAAACCCAGCTCAATGACGTTACGCTTTCTGCTGGAGGACAGTTTTTGCTCCAGACGATGCAAGTTCACGCAATCTTTGATAGAAAGCTACATTTCCTTTATCATGTGTGGCATAAGTGAATGTATAAAAGCAGTGCACGGTGACGTCCATGTTGTGCAATGCATTGCAGTACATTAATGTGCAAGAAACAATCACAATCGCAGAGTGTATAATACAGTCCCTTCTAAATGCGATACAGAAATCATAACTGAGTTTGATGGAGCAATATATAGCCGCATACCGCGGAATTCTCCTACCCGACAAATATTGCTTTGCTCCACACCCTTACTTGGCCTCTATTCGTGGCTTCTTTTGAGCGAGAGATGGCAGAAAATCACATTTTTGTTATCGGATATCTGCAGAAACCTTGAGTCATGTACTCAATAACCCAGAGAGCGCTTCGCGGGTGGCCGTTCGCCTCAATTTTCGACAAATACGATCGGCAGGTAACTCTTGTCGCCATTGGCTACCGTCGGTGAAATGAGTAACCCGAAAATTTTCGGATTAAGGACTTCACTGTTTTCCTGAAAAATTTTGGAAACCTGTCACAGGCGGACAGCATAAAAGTCGCAGTCTACTGACACAACGTCGATGAAGAACCTTACCGAGTAACTGACCGCTTTCAGGGATACGTTTGTCACTCTCAGGCCTCACAAAACCCGATCTAAAGCTAACTGCAGGGTCTAATTGCCAGACTCTCTGAGCGTAAATAAGAAGACGAGGTAAGGTTAGAGGATGAGGAGATGACAGAGTAATATAGTAAACCGGTGGCAACACAGGTTTTTGTTCCCCACCTCAACGGAACCCCTCAGGTCGGAGCTTCTCGACTAAATGCGCCTCTGAACCACGACGGAAGAACATATTCAGTGAAATCTTTGGTATTGGAACGGTGTATGGCTACAGCATGCATTTAGGACGGTCACCATCGGTGTGAAACAATCATATCACCCTTTAGCTTTAGTAATTCAGTTCATATCTCAGTCTCCACAGAAAGAGAGCGCTCCGGAATGTACAAAGTAATCGTTCTTGACGGCATGGTCATAATAGTACAATCAGAATAAAGACACGACTGACGTCAGGTATGGGTGCCCAGCAGTGTGTGAAAGCAATGCAGTCACATGAAAATTGAGTACTGTCTGACAGAGACGAAGTCATACCTCCACTGGCGTGATCCATATACAGCGGACATTACGGACAGAAAAAAAGAGGTTCAAGAGGAGACGCTGCTTTCCACTGTAAAACACACAGGCAGGTAAAACAACTCGTCTGGTATCAACGAAATTAAAGACTACGTACATTTTTATGGAAATCAGTTCATACGTAGGGACACTTATATAGGCAGCACACATGCTTAGTTGCCAAACGGTCTACAAGGGCGCTATGAGTTTACTAATCGATATCGACGAGGACAACGTCCTCACAGCCGACCACCATATTGGACGTGAAAAGCAAGTCGCAATCTGTTTAGACATTGTGGACCCTAGTCACAAACAAGGCCTACACCTGAACTGTGCTCGTTTCAGCGTAAAGCATGGGCAACGGCAGCCCCATTGGGAGATTCAAACTAACAGCGCAAGGTTTTGTTTTACTGTGGGATTCAATTGTGCCTTACACTAAAAAGCTCACCGCCTACATCAGAAAAATCACATAATGGTACGGCTTACGGGTGTAGAACTAAGCGCCCTCTGAAACTTGACAGTTTAATTTCAGTAAATATGACCCGGATAATTTCAGGCCAATATCAGACAGCTTCCATGAGGAGAATCGACCTACGAGCATGGGGCATACAACTACTGACAAAGTTAACGTCCTTTAAAAATTTCTCGGAATATCGTGAGAACGATTAATACACAGAATTTATTCTGTTTTCCCGACCTGGCGTTAATTATTCGAGGTCAGTGCGTGTTGCTATGCCAACAACCCTTCACCTCGAGATACGGTGATACTTCAGCATCCGTTTATTAGGTCGGAGGATCCACGATACAGATTTTTGTGTGCGAGTAATTTTCACTTATATTTTGCGTCAGCAAGTGTACCGCAGGCTAGATTGACTCCCACAAATCAATATAGCTGCAGACTCGCATAAAGCATTCGTCTATCTTAAACGAATCGCTTCTTCCACTGAGTTGGGGCCCATTAGAAGCACAATGCTATTAGCTGCAAAACCTTTGCGGAAGGAATAAAACTTTTCCGCCGAAGCGTTGCATTTCATTGCCTATATGCTCAAGCTACAATCCACTTCAGTCTACCTTCAAATTCCCCCAGGTCACCAGTTTCCTTTCCCACCGTAGCAAACATACCTCTGGCGGAAAAATTCTGGTGGAATACTTTCCTAGCATCACTACTGCCCGTGGATGCTTAGACTGGACTCGTACTCTTATTAGCTGCAAACCTTTGCGGAAGGAATAAAACTTTTCCGCCGAAGCGTTGCATTTCATTGCCTATATGCTCAAGCTACAATCCACTTCAGTCTACCTTCAAATTCCCCCAGGTCACCAGTTTCCTTTCCCACCGTAGCAAACATACCTCTGGCGGAAAAATTCTGGTGGAATACTTTCCTAGCATCACTACTGCCCGTGGATGCTTAGACTGGACTCGTACTCTGAACTCAATTGTCTGTATCTTTTAGTGCAACAGGGACACATCGTAGCTTTCGAAAATCCAACTCCATTGTGCGAGAGCCGAGCGTAGCGTGGGACGTCAGGAAGTCAGAGGTATTCGACGTTCGACAGGATGTAGCGACGGCACACGTCAGTTCTGAAATGTGCAGACTGGTATTAATGAATCCACACAGTATACACAGCACACATGCACACAGGTCGGGTGGTACAGGGAAGAAGACCGGAGTGTAGCAACAACGCACGTGTATTAACCCGAACCAAAACCGGAAGACAGGGGTGTGTGTACAAAGTTGGGTCAAGGTCAGTTAGATGGGTGTACAAGCGGGATACTATTTCCTGCCCAGGGCCCGTGGTGACTCGTCCGTGGTACCCGCAATAGGGGAAGAGAGGGACGGAGAGGCACACATAATGTCATATGATAGAACATACAATCGGTACAGTCGGGTTTCAAATGCGTTACAGATCACTGTTTTCTAGTCCGAGGGCTTTGTTGACCTTAAGAAGCCGCTCAGTTAAACAAGTTGCCAAATCAAATAAGCTTCAGGATAATGAAGTAAATATAGGGGTTTTTACCTATGTAGTGGTGAGCTCCACAACATTGCAGTTTCCCAGACATCCTTGTCGTACGCCGTGGTGGTCACGTGACGTTGCCTGCATCTGTCACGTGATAATTTTTGGGCCAATCATCTGATTGGGTTTGGTTTTGAGTCAGCTTCTGTCGTAGCGATATTAGCTGTGACGGTTTTTATGCTGTAGTATACGGTGTCTGTCATTTTGATTGATTCACATGTAAGTATCGGTGATGTACAACCTTGCTTACTGGGCTTTGGCTCACGAGCCTTGTTCCTGTTTTCTAAATGACCATCTCGAGATGGTCATTTAGGTAATCTCGTAATGGACGCTTTAAGCCGTAATTACGGTTAAGACCGTCAGGAACTACAATAATAACTTCAAATTAGGAAAGACTGCAGTGCGGAGCGAAAATGCTTACAGTAGTGTGGCACTCCAACAGGTGAAAATGTTCACCCATGCGTAAATTGCAACTAAACACCGCAGAATACCCAATGGACGAGCTCCCAGAGCAGCAGCCGCTTCTCCGTAGACCTTGTGCAACTGGACAGCATCGGGAGAGCAGCTTAAGTGCCAGACTCGTTTGCGCGACTTCCGAAAACGCATGTGCTGACCTAGTACTGTTAGGGTGCTGCAATGAGTCGAAAGTGACAGGAGGCCTTGGTTTTTCTACTAGTAACTATTGCGTCCTGCTGACCCAAAGCTGACTACTTTGTCGTGATGGTTCGGTTGCAGCGTTGCAATGATCCTGTGGGCTACACTGGTTGAAATTTAATTAGTTAAGATTCGACCGTGTGAGATTTTTCAGTGGTTATAGCGCGAATATACAGACCGAAAGGTCCGTGGTTTTAACCCAACCTCTACCTCTCGAATCCCCCTGTCTAGGCTTGGGCAACCTGACAGTATCCCAGCCCTCGTGCTTCTTTTGGATGGCGTAGCAGCTAGGAAGGGTGTTGAAGCTGAACGATTTTCCCTATTATTTATCCTTATCAACCGTATAAAGAAGACCCCTGGGTAACAGTCCGGCGAAGGGCAGTGAAACACTTCTCGAAGCAATTATCGTACAGGCCAGTCTAGTAGTGAAGTCGCGCGGTGAGCCATGGTACAGACATTTCTGCATCCGGGTGCAGACTCGGTGCGGAAATTAAACACTATTGCGCCCCTAGTTTCTACTTAGCGAGAATCCTCATGTGCGCTAATTTTGCCCATTTTAATATTTTCCCTAGTTGGATTCTTGAATCGCCTTGTCAGCATGTCCTCATGTCGTGCCTTGTTCCTGTTTTCTAAATGACCATCTCGAGATGGTCATTTAGGTAATCTCGTAATGGACGCTTTAAGCCGTAATTACGGTTAAGACCGTCAGGAACTACAATAATAACTTCAAATTAGGAAAGACTGCAGTGCGGAGCGAAAATGCTTACAGTAGTGTGGCACTCCAACAGGTGAAAATGTTCACCCATGCGTAAATTGCAACTAAACACCGCAGAATACCCAATGGACGAGCTCCCAGAGCAGCAGCCGCTTCTCCGTAGACCTTGTGCAACTGGACAGCATCGGGAGAGCAGCTTAAGTGCCAGACTCGTTTGCGCGACTTCCGAAAACGCATGTGCTGACCTAGTACTGTTAGGGTGCTGCAATGAGTCGAAAGTGACAGGAGGCCTTGGTTTTTCTACTAGTAACTATTGCGTCCTGCTGACCCAAAGCTGACTACTTTGTCGTGATGGTTCGGTTGCAGCGTTGCAATGATCCTGTGGGCTACACTGGTTGAAATTTAATTAGTTAAGATTCGACCGTGTGAGATTTTTCAGTGGTTATAGCGCGAATATACAGACCGAAAGGTCCGTGGTTTTAACCCAACCTCTACCTCTCGAATCCCCCTGTCTAGGCTTGGGCAACCTGACAGTATCCCAGCCCTCGTGCTTCTTTTGGATGGCGTAGCAGCTAGGAAGGGTGTTGAAGCTGAACGATTTTCCCTATTATTTATCCTTATCAACCGTATAAAGAAGACCCCTGGGTAACAGTCCGGCGAAGGGCAGTGAAACACTTCTCGAAGCAATTATCGTACAGGCCAGTCTAGTAGTGAAGTCGCGCGGTGAGCCATGGTACAGACATTTCTGCATCCGGGTGCAGACTCGGTGCGGAAATTAAACACTATTGCGCCCCTAGTTTCTACTTAGCGAGAATCCTCATGTGCGCTAATTTTGCCCATTTTAATATTTTCCCTAGTTGGATTCTTGAATCGCCTTGTCAGCATGTCCTCATGTCGTGCTTATCCAAATACCTGTACGTATTTCCACAGCATTTTACTCGATTGGATATTGAAATAAGTTATTTGAATTTCAAACATTTATATAAAAGGGGCAAAATTTTATAGAACATCTTCAGGTCAGTATTTCCTGGCGACTTTCTGCAAGCCTTTTCTGACCTTCGCTTGTTCGTTCTGCGGCCAACGGTGGACGGAAGTTCGTCGCTAGAAACCTCTCCGTTGACGCTTCTGTAATGAAAAATAATGGAAAAAAATTGTTAGCTCCGGAAGCTCATCCAACTGGTTGTGCGGATCTGCTGTCGCTGTAGCATACACACGCACATGCGTATCAACATCAAAAATCAGGCGTCTGCGTCTTACTTTCTACTCCCTTGGCCCAGAGCAACCCTTTGCAACCAAGTGGCTCAGACCTTTTAGTTATTACTACGGTTAGTGGTCCACAAGGACAACTCCAACAGTCTCTCTTTTCGGACCTTTGATCCGAAAGTCTCAGGAGGAAACCCCGCATCCTTCCTTTTTGAGCCGAAACCCAAATGAGCCCCCTTTTGTCTGAATAACCTGGAAATGTCATTCACTCGTGCACTCGTTCACTGACCGGCCTTTCTCCATTCGCCGCTCAACGTCGTTCTAATTCTTTTGGCTGCAAATCAGCTAACCGTATCCAATAAAATAATTCAAAATATCTGTTCCAAGTAGCTCTCACTCTGACCTTGTTCTGCTTTCCGATCGACTCATGCTATGCCTCCGAAACACGCATGCGAAACCCCAATTCAGTCACACACCTGAAACCGCTTCGGACAAACCGAGATTTCTCGTACTCTACTCTTCGCGTGTCTACTTATCTTAATGCAGCGATTTGTGGTATTTGCGGTGTACGATTTGTGCTTGTCCCCAGGGCTCAGTGTGCCTTATTGTATCGGTTTTTGGTTAATAGCCGCCTTTGCGCGGTTTGGCTGAGTGTTTCAATCAAAATCAGTGCATCTAAGCGTGGTAAACGGTGCTTATGTATTGTGTCAGCATACGCTCCGACATGGCAGCTCTGAGGTTTAGAAAAACAGCTTTGTCAGGATTAGTTACGGTTGCTTCGGTCTGCGACAAACAAATATCATGATTCTTTTAGGTGATATGAATGCTCAGGTTTGCCGACTAAGTCCAAAGGATGCCCATCTTTGTGGCCGATTCGGGGCTGACGCTTACCACACAGATAACAGAAAGTGGCTTTTCGAACTATGTGCGATTTATTCCCAGTCAGTACAGGCGCTCACATTTGGTGACTTGAAGGTCACCATCCGTGGACTTCGTTGAACTGTGGCAATCAACCGTCGGTGGAGGTCTTCGACACAACATTCATTCGTTTCTCTTACGAAGAGACTCGGCGTAATGGTAGTATGGTGCTTTCTACACCATATACTAGGGGTTTCACTATGACATTCGCTTAGTATCTCATACCGGGTCGGTCTTTGGATAGAGCACTGACGAACAGTCTCTTTGTTCTCGAGGTTGGAGGTTAGTACATGTATGGCGACTTGTTCTGTAAACCTTGAAACGCACATTTCCTGCCAAAGACCGTTGCTTTGCAGTCAGGATTTCGAGCCAAAAGCTCTGGTTAAGGACCCTAGTCTTCTTCCTGTCTAGGTATGAGCACTCTGACAATATCCCATCCCGCGTACAACGATGAACGTCACAATAAAACATATGCCATCTCGGCCGTCGCATGTTTCATCAGTCGGGTCTGCCTACACCAGGGCGGGTAAGTGAAAACAAGCTAACGCCCCCTTCTCAAAGTTCCACATATCCTCTCTTCCCTCCTACTCCACCCTAAACAGGTCTCAGCATTAGGACTGACCGCCTTCCTCGCTCAGCTGCAGCTTTCGTACATCCGATTTCGTTATAACCCCAAGCGCCGCGAAGTTCTTTTCAAAACCCAGAAATCCAGTCTCCTTAGTTACTTTTAATGTTCACACACTTAAGCAAGCAGGATAACAAATGACTCTTGCTCGTACGCTGGATTTCCTCTTCGCTGATGTATGCTGAAACAAGGATACAAAACGCGAGTACCGTAGTCGACCTGACTGCCCCTCACTTTCTCCAGGTACCGGCCACGCACCTCTGATGACGTGAAGGCCGCTGCAGGTAGATTTGTCGGCATGCGTTTTATGTTGAGCCATCGAGCAAAATCGTTTTTACTTGAGTGGATACCCAGAAGCGAGATGGCTGAGGTTATAGCGCTAATTTACTGACCGGAAGGTCCGTGGTTCGAACGCGGCTTCTGTCTCCCAACTTCTCCTGTTTAGGCTTGGGCAACGTGGCGGTATCCAAGCCCTCGTGCTTCCTTCTGGTAGTATGGCAGCTAGGCCCCGAAAGGGTGCTACAGCTGAACACTGAATGGATACCCATTGGTAGCGAGTTCCGCTTGGCTCGTTTGGCTGCGTCTGTGAATCTGGAGAATGTGAGGCCCATCTGTCCCTGTTTATTGTATTTGCCTCCGCCCTGATGAACTGTAGCCCTGAATGTCCTAGGAACTGTTTCTGTGACGTTGTAGATACCCTTTTACACCGGCATTTGCCACTGACGAACAACCGTGCCCTATACCAACTGGTACGATCGACTGTACATAGGAAATCGACGGCCAGTGAAACGATAAGGAAAAAAGCTGGCTCATCAATTCACTCGGAAACGCCAATTGGAAAATGGACCGAACGCTTCGATGAACAGTTAAGCTGGCCTGCCGCAACACAGCGTTCGAAAATAGTTCATATAGGCAAACGGAATTTAAACTTTAATCGCCCGTCAGATGAAATATAATGTGAAATATCGGTGCGTTTAGCGTTAGAAGGCATTGGGACCGGACGGTCTATATCCAGTCCTCTTTAAAGGTGGCGAATCTCTGGTGACCTACCTGACAGTGCTCATTAGTGTGACATGGAGAGAAGAGAAAACGCTTGCCGAATGGAGCGCGTCAACAGCTACTATTGCCTTCAAAAAGGGTAACGAACACTGTGTAAACCATCGTCGCATCAGCTTGGTAGCTGGGGCTTTGAAGCTGCCCTCTAGTCTTATCCTTCGAAGGATGGCTGAACATAGGGAGAAACAGATCCATGAAAGCCAGGTTGGAATCCGTCCTACAGGAGGATGTCGCGATTAAATTTTCAACTCCCAACAGATTCTGGAACGGCGACACCGCTTCCAGCAACCAACAATGTTTGTGTTCCTTGACTTGAAGACTGCCTTTGATGCCGTGGATCGTCGGGTACAATGGTAGCGTCTGTGGAGCAAAGGCGGCCATCAAGGCGCTGTACGACAACCCTTATGGACGTGCGAAAGTCTACGACAAGCCCTTGCTTGCTTTCACTACATCAAGTTGTGTCACGCAATAATTCTGTCCCTTTTCACCTTTCCTCTTTAATTTCGTCGTTCATATTCTGACCTAAAGCTGCCACCTGGACGTGGTGAAGCCCTTGCTTTCACTACATCAAGTTGTGTCACGCAATAATTCTGTCCCTTTTCACCTTTCCTCTTTAATTTCGTCGTTCATATTCTGACTGACAGCTGCCACCTGGACGTGGTGGTCGGGCTTGAGTGCTGCAGCGATCCCGCGGGCTACACTGGTTGGAACTTCGTTCCACAAGGTGCAACCATGCCAGGAAGGCCAAAGGGGAGCAGCCAGACCAAGAGCGGCGAGACCCCGTACTACGAGTAATCGTGCTACGAGGTGGTCTGGGGGTAGTCGTACTGCCCTCTGCGACAGGAGTGTGAAGGCAGTAAGGTGTTTTCCCCAGGCGACCAGCATGTCCATATTTGTGAGAGCAGCAATGCTGCCTTCCCCTGAGGAAGGACGGGTTAGCAAAGATCGGCCCCAAAAACCGCACACTCCGATCGCCCAGCGGTTGACCGTGACCGCCGGCGCATTATCCAATGCGGTCGAAATACTTTTAAAACCAAAAAGCCTGGTGCTGCTCAAAAGGCACCTGCTGTGCGCAGCCGCATCAGGAATGAGACAGTAATGCCTTATTCCCTGCACCCTCGGGTTAGGCCAACCCCTTGCAACCGAGCAGGTCAGACTGTTGAGTCGTCGGCTCCGGGCAGGGTCCCCAAAGAAAACCCTAAATTCTCCCACTGCCTCGTGGGTCGGACTTTTGAGTCAGAGGCTAGGGTCAGGGTCCCCGAACAAAACCCTACGTCCTCCTACTGCCTTGTGGGTAAGACTTTTCAGTCGAAGGCTCAAGGTGGGGTACCTAAACCAAACCCCCTTCCTCGGCCTGGGCAGCCGGGAAGTATCATTTGGCCGCGCGGTTCAGCGTCCAC